TGGATGTTTGTGTGTGTGTGTGTGTGTGTGTGTGTGTGTGTGTGTGTGTGTGTTTAAGTTGGATGTTGTATGTTTGAGTTTGTGTGTGTTTGAGTTGTATGTTTGTGTTTGAGTTTGTGTGTGTTTTGAGTTGTATGTTTGTGTTTGAGTTTGTGTGTGTTTGAGTTGTATGTTTGTGTGTTTGAGTTTGTGTGTGTTTGAGTTGTATGTTTGTGTGTTTGAGTTTGTGTGTGTTTGAGTTGTATGTTTGTGTGTGTGTGTTTGATTTGTGTGTTTGAGTTTTTGTGTGTTTGAGTTGTATGTTTGTTTGTGTGTTTGTTTGAGTTGGATGTTTGTGTGTGTGTGTGTGTGTGTGTGTGTGTGTGTGTGTGTGTGTGTGTGTGTGTGTGTGTGTGTGTGTGTGTGTGTGTGTGTGTTTAAGTTGTATGTTTGAGTTTGGTGTGTTTGAGTTGTATGTTTGTGTGTTTGAGTTTGTGTGTGTTTAAGTTGTATGTTTGTGTGTTTGAGTTTGTGTGTGTTTGAGTTGCATGTTTGTGTTTGAGTTTGTGTGTGTTTGAGTTGTATGTTTGTGTGTGTGTGTTTGATTTGTGTGTTTGAGTTTGTGTGTGTTTGAGTTGTATGTTTGTGTGTTTGAGTTTGGTGTGTTTGAGTTGTATGTTTGTGTTTGAGTTTGTGTGTGTTTGAGTTGTATGTTTGTGTGTTTGAGTGTGTGTGTTTGAGTCATGTCGCTCTCTGTGTGTGTTGTTTCAGTGTTGTGTGTATCGTGTGGTGTGTTTCACCATGTGTCTTTCACTCTGTGTGTGTGTGTGTTTCTGCATGCGCTCAGCGCTGCAATAAGACTCCTCTAGATGCTGATGCTGATGTTCAGATTGGCTCCAGACTCTCCATCTGACAGCAATAATAGCAGCCAGCAGTCAGCAGACCCACACCTGATGCTGTAGATTTACTCTTGACTTTACTGTTTAACTGAGGTAATTGTGAATGATGATGATGATGATGAAGATGTTTTGGGCTGATCAGATGTAGCCGTTTATTTTATTTTTGGGTTTAATTTTGGTTTGCATGTTTGTTTAATACCAAATACGTTGAATAATAATCAAATACAGTTGATTTCACTATACGAGCAGGCTCTGTTCTGTGTTCTGTTCGCATAAATCTCCAGAACTTCCCCAGAGAGGAGAGAGATTTCTGATTCAGCAGTGTTTTCTAGAAAAATCCTGAAGCATTCGTTTGTTTTGTCCATCATTGGGCTCATAAAAGCCCAATCTTCATTTTGATGTCCAGGGTGGACTCACGCTAGGTACAGTTGCCTTGAGCCGTGCCGAAGCAAACTTGTACCCTCTCCTCCTCGTCCTGTACTCGCACAGCATTTTACCTTCCGAGCCGGAGCACGCTTCCGTCATCGATGATGCGACTGTTCAGTTTAACAGAAGAGAAGCGCTCTCACTCAGCACAGTGGACATTACGAGTGTTCAAATTAGTTGTCTCTTTGGTCAACTGATGCAGACAGATCAGTGTCGGTTTAGTAATAGATCCTAACCGGTTATTATGTACTAACGCCACTTATCTCATACTCGCTATATTACAGTAGCTCACTATGGCGAGAGAAGCCAACGAGAGTAATTAAAACTCAAAAGCTCTTCCCAGTTCACTGCATGTGTGTTTGCCGGACAGTGTTTCACTGACACTGAAGTTACAGCAGGAGCCCCAATTTCACTGCAATGGAGAAAATAAACTCGACAATCGGTGGACTGCTTGACGGTCGCAAACTGAAGACCCAGGGGTTTCGTTTATATTTGAAGGGCACTTTTTATCGAAGAGAAAAAAGGTCATGTGCACTGCACAGATTGAGCCCTGTCTGTGCACGTGCTTAATGCACCATGATATCCAATTGAAACGAAACGATGAGAATCGTAACCGAACCGTGAGACCACTGCAGGTTCACACCTCTAGTTTAAATTGTTGTAGCTACATCATTTTGTATTATTTTTAGTGGTTTGGGATGCACAATTAAATATTTTGCTGAACAGATCCGGCACTGTTGACGCTTAAACATGTTGATGAAGTTCTCCTGCTCAGGTATTATGCTGTGTTCACACCAGACGCGGAAGATGCGTCAAGCGCGAGTGATTTACAAGTCAATGCAAACGCGTGAATTGACATCCTGCAGCGCGATGTGGGCGAATGGCACGATACGCTTGAATGGTGTGCTGCGAATGACGCTACACGCACGAATGACGTGGTGCGAACGACGCTATACGCGCAAATGCCGTGGTGCGAATGGCGCGGTGTGTTTGGCGCGATACACGCGAATGGCGCGATACCCTTAAATGGTGCGGCGCGAATTGAGCGTTTTGCTCGTTTGACTCGCTTAACACGCGTTTCGTAAATCGCTAGAGTTCAAAAATCTGAACTTAAGCGAACATTCACGCCGCGTTAACCAATCAGGAGCTTGCTCTTGTGGGGGCGTGATTGTGACATAGCGCCACAGTTCATCAAACTGGGCTGGGCTCAGTCAGAAGCACCGCTGAAAGACTCCATCATCCAGGTAAATTTTCTGGAGGTTATGAACTCACAGTAGTGGATGCACCTTCGAAAGAATCTATTGGACTCAGACACGGCCCTAAATGTATCAGCGCTGTTTTTCAGCCTTCATAAAATGCATAAACGCTGTTATTTTCTTAATAAAATCCACGTTAGCATTTAGCAATGAAGCTAGAGTCAGCCAGAAATGGGAAACGCACCCGGGCACGGTTCGAATAGCCTAGTGTGAGCCCACCCTAATGTCAAGTCATTTTGTTTCTCCAGTAAATGCGTCTTGATTTGTTTTCACTGAATAATAAGACTCAAATACCAAGCAAGAATAAGCCTGAAGAAAAATCTGCTGTTATTCTTTGGTGTTTCAGTACAGATTAGTTGTTTTAAAGTCCACATAAAATCAAAATGCGTGTTAACAAAGGCTGATGGGAAATTAGCATGTGTAAATTTTGAAGAATCGCATGAGAAACGGTTGATGGAAACACCAAATTTGGAATGAAAATCCCCGAATTCACACAGCTTTAACGTGTAAAAGTGTAAATGAGACATTTAAACGCATTTACCAGATGACCAAGCGAACATCCCCACGTGACTTTATTTTGCTTACTTTGTTTACTATTGGTTGCTAGGTTACCAATACTGCACTAATGCTGTGTTCACACCAGATGCGGCATGCACAAATAAACTGCGCTAATCGAGTAATAAATATTGCACTATTCGCTATAGACACGTGAACATTTTGAGTCTACTCGTTTCATTCGCACGTCAATTTCAATTCACAATAGACACAGATTTGCATCATGGGCGGGGCTTCTGTCCGCCTGCCTAGCTTTGTTGCTAAATGGCTAACAAGGGTTTTATTGAGAGAATAGCTGTGCTTGATGTGTTTTGGGAAGACTGAAAAACAGTGTAGATTTGTTCGGCACCGAGTCTGAGTCCACTAGTTTCTGTCAGATGTGCACCCAGCACCCAGTTCACCAACTCCTCCAGAATCTGTACCTTGATGATGGAGGCTTTCAGCGGTGCTTCAAATAAGCCGAGCCCAGTTTGATGAGCTGTTGTCCGGTGTCTGCAGGAGGATTTCCCCTCGGGATACCAACAACAGGCGCTATCTCATAATCACACAAGAGAAAGCTCCTGATTAGTTAATGCAGATTTTCCAATTGCAGAGTCAAACGCGCGACTCTCAATCAACTCGCACCGCTTCATTCGAACAATTGTATCATTTGCGCCACCTCATTCATGTAAATTGTGCCACAGGATGTCTATTTGCCTATTTTCATTGTAAATCACTTGCACTTGATGCTTCATTCGCATCTGGTGTGAACGCAACATCAGCATAACAAGTTGATGGAAATTAACTTTATTTACGTTTGCGAATTTATTTATTTTTTTTAAAATTGCGAAATTTAAAAAAAAATAAAGATTCCCTTCATGCTAGGATGGAAACACGGCTAATGCTTATTTTACTTGTGCACATTGTTATGCTCGGTTTACACCACTTGCGAATTACTCTGTCACTTGCTCTGATTCATTCCCAGGATGTTTTTTCGTAAATTTTTTCTTGAACTTATTCAAACTTGCGCTGTAAACGCTATTGTAAATGCGTCACCTATTATGCATCATTTACAATGCGCAGCTATTATTTTATTTAGTTGTTTTTTTTTTTTTTGTATTTCTTCATTGCGAAACTTTTAAATGCTTCTCTTCACGCTGTAATAAAAACATAGCTAATGTTTATTTTGCACATTGTTATGCTCCGTTCACACCAGATGCGAAGCACTCGGTCGCTTGCTCTGATTTACTCGTGTGATGTTGTTCCGCTAATTTTTCGCTTGAACTTGCACTGTAAATGCGTCACCCGTTACGCATCATTCTCACTGCGCAGCTATTATTTCATTTATTTATTTTCACGGCTGTCACTTGCACTTGCTGACACTTGCTCTGATTTACTCACAGGATGTTTTTATTCATCACTTGTGTTGCGCGGCTATTATTGCACTCAATTTAAGCATTTGCATTGGCTTTAAAAGTAATTTACTCTCATGAATATTTAATTCTGCATTTGTTATGAACTCAGCATTAGTCTTAAACGGTAAAATAATCTGTGTGCAATATTCCACAACAAAAAAGAAAAACAGTTTGATTTGTTAATCTTTAATAATAATCTAGAACAGCAGTCCTTTGATGATTCTGATTGGGTGAAACATGCTAAGCCACGCCCCTCCAACTGCTAGTTTGCTGCAAGTGCAAGATGAGAGGTGAAGCTAAACAAATAAACCCCGCCCCCTGCTCAATATTCTGAATACATAAACGTCTGCAGCAACTTCTGATTCATCTGGACTTTAATGTCACATTTCTGTGGCTGTTTATCGAGCATCTATTGTCGTATTGTGTTGACGTATATTATCATATGTATTATATTTTCCAGTGATGATGTCTTGAAGACGGCTAGAAAAGCAACACGGTGTTAGATCTCATTCATACAGCATTTGTCTGGAAACAGGGAAACCTTAAATCTAAAACCATTTAGTTATACTCTAACTATATCTTGAAAATTTTATTCCAGCTTGCTGTATTTACTCTCATAAATATTTAATTCCGCATTTGTCTAGCCACGCCCCTCCAACCACCAGTTCACTGCAAGTGAAATATGAGAGGCAGAGCTGAAAATAAAACCCCGCCCCCTACTCAATATTCAGAATACTCAACTGAAAGTCTACAGTAACGTTTGACTCATGTGGACTTTAGTTTCATATTTCTGTGGCTGTTTATCGAGCGTTTATTGACTTATATTAAAGTATTTATGATATTTTCCAATGGTGTCTTGAAGATGGCTAGAGAAGTTTAATTCCGCATTTGTTTTGAACTCGCCGTTAGTTTTAAGAAGTCAAATTAATCTTTGTAAGTTAATTAGTTCATCTTGAATAATAATCTGCCCATCAGCTTCTGCTCTGTATCAGCAGTCTTACTCTGATTGGGTGAAATAGGCTCCAAACGCTAGTTTGCTGCAAGTAAAAGATCAGAGGTGGAGCTAAAAAATAAACCCCGCCCC